GCATTCTTCGAAATTTTGAAAGAAAGAAAAAAATTTGTAATTTATATAAGCAATCTTTTAGCAATAATAAAAGAAAATTTACATCACGATCACATGTGGTCACTGAATAAAAAAGCAAAGTTTCTACTACAATATTCCTTCATTATCAGAGTCATTTTGCTTAATTATCTCACAATTTAACTTATGGTCCTGTCTATTCTCCAAACACTTAATAATAAGCTCTCCGGATGATGGAAGACGTGGGAGAACTTGCTCCCAGAGATTAGACGAGTAACTCTAGTTCGGGAACTTCGATAACGAGCCACGAATACATAATGCGTACTCATTAAGTGCGATAAACCGTTCCGAGTTCCGTCGTAAGCATAATGGTAAACTAGCAATTCCGAGGCCAACAGAACGGGCGCATGCCATTTGTCACGCTTACCCGCTGATGACCGCCTCGATCCCCTCGGCGACGCTGCTCTTGTTGAATTTCTTCATGTACGTGTGCATTTCTTTGAAGTACTTCGCCAGGGTGCTGTCTGTGTGGCTCCACGGTATCGTACCGAACTTGAACATAGGCTTGTGGGACATCGGCTTGGCCAGGCGGAGATCGTCGATGCCAGTGAACTCGTGAAACTCCTCTCTCGTTATCATAAAGGCGGCCAGGTTGGCAGTGTAAATGGCGAGAAATACCACGGCGAACAACGCCCACACGTTCGTCATGAATCTATATCACGCAAACACAACCAATTATTTAAACAAAATTAAACTCTGATACAGATGATTGATTCATTGTTCTCAGAAGAATACACTGAGGGCAAACGTCAGTTCATATTCTACATAAATAATAAAAAGATTTTAATTGGATATACAAATTATATAACTAGAAATTGTGTTTCACGATTAAAATTGAAATCTCTTCGCCTGTGCATAATTTAAATGTCACTACTGAATGTGGCTTACTAGTAATTATTAGTTTGAAAGACTTCATGCATACGTCGGATCCGCAGCGATCTGACTAATTACTCCAAAGTCAAAATCAGTTACTATCGTTTCTCTATGCCAAAGCACAATTCTCCACGGTAATTACGGCGCCAACACACAGGAAGCGTCAACGTGGACCGTGAAACTTTAATACTGGCAGATAAACAGGATCTCGGACTGAATACGAGGTGGTCAGTTTGATTCGCATCGCGCGCCCAAATACGCATTATACGCGAACCTAATCGGTAAACCGTGCAGAATTAATCTACCAATATCGCGAGAGATCACGTTTGTACGGATTTGCCAATACGGATAGAAGCGTGAGGATCATCCTAGCGTGATGCTCTCATTATTATAGCTTCTATAATTGAGAGTGCAATACTAAATGAGGAAAATACTGTTTCAATGAACCACACGAGACTCTCTAATTATATTCAAAATTCATTTCACTGCGTTTCTATTCAACAAATCAATTTTGGCATAATTCATTAAATTCATGAAAAGAATTCTTCATTTATTATAAATTAATAGAGAAAATTACTTTCTACGTGTGCGCTTTATTAATAAAACAAGCAGAATAATTATAGAGATAAAACAAGCAGAATCATTGTAATTGTACATATTTCAATAGAATGGATGATTATTCAATGAATATTTATATAATACTAATACATTTATTATTTCAAACATCATTTCTTTTTTATTCCTCTTTAACTATACTATTCTGATCTAATCGATTCTATATTATCTTCTTATCTTTTCCTCATTTCAAAAGAACAGTTTCTGATAACAGAACTTTTATTACTTGAATGTGAGATGATCTCTTTGAAAGTGGCGGACGTCCGCCTCTGGTAATTCATTGCGTGGGGGATTAAGTGAAACGTGAAAAGGGTGCTTTTGAATTCGCCGCTTGACCAGTTCGCGAAAATAAAGTGTTCATTTTTCATGGATAATGCTGCAGCTGGGTACGGTTTCTTGGCACGAGAACCTCGCGCTGTACATAATATAGAATCACGTACATAACGTATCCGAGTCATAATCTCATGATAAAATATAACCGATTTAAATTACGACCAGACCTGTTATTGTTTACTTTGTACTGGATTCCTAAGTAGAATTCCAAATTTTCGTTCATGAATAAATTATTGAAATATTACGCATTGAATTGTGTACTTTATGTTCGAGTATCATAAATATATTTCAGTAGGCGCTGAATTAATTTTCTTACAGCACACTGGCCATTTCGTTAACATAAAACGAATCAGAAATTTCACATAAATATTCGATTGAATATGAAAGACTTCCAGTCAGAAGCGAGTAGAGGAAACGAAGGGCAAAACGAAGAGAGGGAAGATGAAAAAAAAGGAGGCAGCGAAAAGTGAATTCGCAAATCATGCAAATGTAGATTTGCCAGCGACAAGCGCATTTATGACGCGTTCTTTTTGATCCCGTTTCTATTCCACCGCGTCGGAAAAAAACACGTTAACCAGATATTCGCCAGGTCTCCTTCTCGCCGTGCCAGCCGTATTCGACGATCCACGAGGAAGATTTTTAATTCCGATGGAAATTGTTTTACCAACCTGGATGTGAATCCTCTGGGAGAATCGATATGGACGGCTGCCTGAAATAATACGGCCCAAACCAGCCAGTACGTCCGACAGAAGGAGAATCGATGGTTAGGCGACGGGTTCTTCTGCAACCAATCGAAACCACCCTCGTTCAAGGGCGATCAATTCGTCTCGCTTTTTTAGTAATAATAGCGACACGACGTTGCAATAATAAGAAAATATCCTATTCTACGGTGTGAAAAGTGAAACACATAAATCATGTTGTATAATTAAGTAAAGAGAGTACTCTGTGTAACTGAAGAAAATGATAACATCAGACGTGTAACAAATTGATTAAGTTTTCTAGATTGTATTTCGTTTGTTAAAACTCGTATTTATTTGTTATTTGTTCTGTACACTAAACACATAATTTTACACATTTCCCATGCAGTTGCTACAACGTTCGTACGATATTCAGTTTCCTGTCGTAATTGTAGAGTTAATAATAAAACAAAGGATAAACAGAGCAAAAGCAAATGCAATTTTTTTATGAGCATCACTGAGAATTTCCTTTCCAACGAAATTCTCTGCATGCAATTAAATGATACAGTTTTCCTGGTTATTCGGCCACAGATTTACCAACGTTCTTTATGCAACTATGATTAAAACGAGACAACGATTCGATGATTTAACTGAAATAAAGATTGAATCATAGAAGTAATCAAATATTAAATATAACGCTTCATATTTTTCTCTTCTTGTGCTATGTACAAACTCCATCGATTCGTTGGAAAGGTAAACAATACGTAGAGGTAAACAATTGGAAATAATGCTCGTGCAGATTGAACGAAATTGCAATCACGATCTCAACAATCGAGGAAAGGTACAGTGTTTTTAGAGTTTTTATAAACGAATGAAACTGCGTTTCACGATGCTTTGTCGTGAACTTGTTGGTTGTCCATCAATCATGGTGCCGTGTCATTGTAAATTAACGAATATTGTATGACCGGGTAATGTGCACTATGGGAATTTCGTGCTCCGGAGGCGAGAAAACATACATTAGGTAATAAGAAGCGAAATTAATAATACCGGTTTCTGCGCAGCGCCTGAAGGGTTTACCTTCATGTTGAAACCGGACGGTGACAACCATTCGAATAGCAGTATCATAACAGTGGCCGCGTGTATGGCGACGATGCCGACTAGCATCCAAGACGCGGTGTCGAATGGTTCTGGAAAACGATAATCAAACAGTTGCTCCATGAAGCCATTTATTTTTTATATTTTCTACTAAAAACTACCAAATTTGAACGAAATTTAGGTTTTTATGAGCAACATTCATTATCTACATTGAATCCCAAAATTATTTAACCCTTTCGCTACTACGGGCGACTATAGTCGTTCAGCGGAAGTATCGTGGCGGAGAACCCGCCCGTAGCGAAAGGGTTAAGAAAGATAAATATCTTTCTGTTTCTATGTTTCGGAAGTTACAGAAATATTATTCAATGTTAAATATTTTAAAAAATTTCTGGAATCTCACCAAGGAAGGCAGTGGGAGATATAATACCAGTCCTCTTTGCAACCACAATCGCGATGCCAGTTTCCATGTATGGCACCGTGAAATCAACCACGGCTTCTCTTTCCGCGTTAATCATTAGAGACGTCATCACCATGTCCGTCTTTCGATTCACGAGGTCAGCTATCAGACCGTTCCATTTTCCATTCTGTAAAAAATAAAAGAAGAAAGCGTTATAATAAATCCTGATCGGGCAAAATTCAAAGCTCATCATGAATCGACGTGTTCGACTTATAGAAAATTAATGCATACGCTGCATAAATTATTCAACTGCACGTACATATTTGATCTCATACTGAATACCATAAGCCGTATAGTCGGAATCAGTCGAGACAAATCGAAAGTAAAACACATGAGGATAAAATTGACCTAAATAATTAAATATTGTGAGATCGAAGGATTATTGTATTGAATGAAAAATTGCAGATTAATTATTTTTAGAGATTATTTTCTCTTCGTGAACTTTACTTGAGTTGCACTTTATTCATTTCTAAGTTATATATCAAGATCTGGTAATTTTTAATTCAATACTTATGGTATAATGCGCAAAGCGTGTATTATGCCATATCAATCATTTTAATTCGATTCGCAGTAAACGTGTGATTGAGCAGCATACGAACGCGTACGTATTCAAATGTACCGAATGAGAGAGTACTATACTTTGCCGGCTTGTTACGGCCCAATTGTTCATTCCTAGTGCCGGATTCTGGGTTAATGGACGACGCGGTGGTTGCAATTACGTGTGAAATTAATCTATATCGCCGTTAGGTATCGATACGTAACGCCAGCTATTAAAGCCTAAAAGCTGCGGATTAAATAAGGTCACTTGATACCGACTTTCAAGACGTTCTCCCTTTATACTAATTCCTCAATTATTGATACTAATACTAACCCTCCATTTCCCAGGGATTGAGATTTCTCAATTGGTTTTATAGGAAACGATTGTACGACCAATTAACGCTTATAATGGAACGCTGTCACTTCAATTTTACGTTTTTCAAGACATTTCTTTACGCGAACTTAATTGCGAACGTACACTGCTAAAAGCGAATAGTAATATCGATGGATGTATAACAATCATTTCAAAGACATTATTATTAACCAAATTATGGCTCTAAAGAAATTTAATATGCAAATTACACACAATTTGTGATAAAATGTTATCAAGGGGTTCTTATGATAAAATGTTAAATTACATATTTTGCATAACATCTCATGAATACATTATAAATATCTTGTGAATATAATATTAAAGAAGAAAGCATTTATTTGAGAGAACTTCTGCATGCAAAACGTCTTGTTCAATTCAAGTCATATTTCATTGCACTACGACATAGATAATATCGTGTAATTAGTTATTTTTGAAATTTTACGATATGCAGTTTCGCTCGAGCAAATCAGATCATACGTTTTCGAATTAAAATTGAATTATTGTTAATCGGGATAAAGCTCACCTCTAACGTGCCCCATTTGCCGTCTTCCACTCTAACGAGCTCGTAAGTGAAGCCGATTTCTTCGGAGAACTTCTGAAGCAGGTCGATGCAGAATCCGCTGCAGCATTGATAGAAGCTCTCGTTCTTCTGTGCCGATTGAAGGTCCATCCTGAAAAACGAACGACACGGTTGAACATCACGGTCCACTTCTTCCCGGGCACGTTTCAATTGCGATTCCTTGCCCTTACACAAGCTGAGAGGATCATTTCTACGGTAAAATACTTTGATCATTTTCTTGTAATCAGACTGCGAAACGGAGGACGATCCCCGATTTCAGTGTTACACGATTAATAGATCTAACAGTTCCTGTCACGAACGACGATCATTTATTCCAGTTTGGAGTTTGGAGAGATGGAAGTTCCTCGAAACGTTTTCATGCGAACGACAAGCATTAAATCATACGTTCTATTGAAGATTCTACAGTCTTTTATATAGAAATTAAATAATATAGTACATACAAAAATAGGTAACAAAATTTTGCAAAGAAATATTGTAAATAATAATAATAATTGTAATGTTTGAATTATGCTTCTGTAGCCTAAACATGACGTTGAGTGTTCGTGCAGCGGGGGCTAACTTTCTATAATGCTGCTCGAATTCACTCGATCTCGGTTTACGCCGCGCGGAGCCCGAAACAACTGGATTAACGTCGTTTCCGGGGAAGTCTAGCAATCTGGCTTGAACGCGAGTCGGATCGTTTACTCTGGTCACACCTGCGCGTGACAAACCCGGTCCCATTCTTCGTGTACAATTCCCGCAACCACTAGATAACGCTCGTTTTACCAGCCCTCATCCAAGGATGTATTGCTGGGGCAATCAATACGAGGTCTTTTGCATCTCAAACAGATTTATCTCATTAGGGTATTACTGCGGATGTGCCAGTTATTGCTGATACTCATAAAATCAATAAAAACAGTTTATTTATTATCCATATATTATATTTCAATGAACTATAAAATATTTTAAATATGACTAATTATATCTAAAAAATATATCTTTTCTTAAAAATTAATGATAAATTTTCTATTGTCATTTGTATTTCAACTTGAATGAAATCTCGATACATTTGGTTAAATGCTAGTNTAATCCAAAGACGAAAATAGTTAAAAAATTATTATATGAATTTTATAATTTCTGTATTTACACTTTTATATATTATTTTATAGTTGAACAAGTAATCGATTATTTTACGAATAAAACTCGAAACTTTGTGTAATCCTGAAAAATAGAACGTAACCCAAATTCCAAGCATTATGAGATAATTGCAGTAAATTTCGAGAGTACAATAAACGGATAGAGACAGATGTACCTGGTTATAAATGTCGTGTTTTCACGGTAATAACGTATATTTTACAGTGCCTTTGCACGGGCGATATGCACGGGAGAAGAACGTAAGAGCATCGATTTTCCCTGAACTCAAAGACATTCGCCAAGGTCCGCCTATATTTCACGATTCTCTTGCCAGTAAAATTTACCTAATGTAAATACATCGGCGTAGTTTTATGTGCACGGCACGTGTATGTGTGGTACGTAGGCGTGCTGACAGGAAGTAACAGACGGTTGCTGGAGGCAAGTTGTGTGCGCGGTACCTCAGCAAAGAACCCTTTATGTATTGGCGGCGCACTTTCCCTCCCGTCATAAAAGTTTACGACGTTTTCTAGGGGTTAAACCCTCGAAGGTTTTCTGTGAATCGGTGCTTCTTTGAAACCTGCACCGAATAGAACGTGGTTCTACACTTTGTCACTATAATTGTCTACTTATACCTGATTTTATATTCATTTAATGGAGGGGTTTAATTTTTTTTTTTAATAAAAGCAACTTTTCGTTAAAGACAATATATATATATGATAATAAATGAACTATGCTTTAAGTCGGAGATATTTTTATATCGATTGCTATTGCACTGGACATTTATGAAGTATTAGAAGGATAGTGATAGTAGATACGGATAAATTGGGAATCCTGCAGATTTTTCTTCCCCTTGGATGTAAGAAAATATGACAAGGAAGCTGCTACTCGAGACGGATAAGGTGAATTCCATTCCAACCAGTAGATTCATCTCCCCATTCGCTGGCACGTCCGATAAATTGGTTTTCAAATTGAAATTTGACCGGAACCGACGAAATTCTGGAAACCCTATTCAAATCCACCAATCCATTTCAACGTTTAATGAAGGAACAGTTGGGTAAATGCACGGGGCGTCTTCAAAGTGCGGTGGCTGCCTATCCAATTCGCGTTCTCGTAAAAAAGGAAGTGGGAGCAGAATGTAATAAGTTACGAAGGTGCAGGTGAGTAAATTCTCACGGACGAAACGCACCCCGACTGGAGCGCTCTGATACCGTTACCGTGTTGGTAACTTAATTCATTCGCGGGATTGAAATCTCGTTCTAAAGTAAGTGCAGGTCGGCCAGCATTCTTCTATAATGCCGAGAGAAATTGTATTCAGAAATTTAAGGTTCAATTAAATTCTTTTTTATCTATTTTATTGTGGAAGTCGGAGTTGCGAGAAAGATCTCGGAGTGCGAAATTTCATGCGGGTAACTCGATTAAGGTCTCGATGGGCCTGGGGAAACTTGAAATCCGGTTAGCCGAGCGAAACGTGGCCTGACAAGCTGGACTGACATCGACGAAGTTCGTTAGAACTAACCGAAAATCGGGGAACTTTGTCCGAGAACGTTGGAACTACTCGAACCCTGACAATTCACGGTACATTTAATCGCGGTATATCTGTAACAAGTACTGTCGGTGGTCGAAGAAGATGGTCAACCAATTCAGTCCAAATCTGAATTTGACGCCTAAGACAATTCGCGTAACCAGTTTCTACTAAAGGAAATATTGATGAGTTTCTTTCAAAAAATCTAATGACGTTCAATAAAACCTTTAAGAACAGAAGAGATATTCTCATATTCTAATGTTTTATATTTTGTACAAGCTTGGAGAAATATATACAAGAATCGAAAGATTTAATTAATTTATTTACTTATTTGCTTACTTGTATGAAAGCATGAAATTCGGCGAAAATTAATCTTTTCCTTCATACAATTGCAAACGTATAAACGCTTTAATCTTCGACACCCTTGCATCGATCACATTACTGTCTCTCCTAAATGATGTTTACGTAACCCGGAAACCACACAAAACAGTTGATTGCGACTCGGAGTGCGTGCGAAATTACGACCGCTTCGTTTGTAGTACGTGTAGCCACCAGAGATTATTTAATAAACGGCATAATGAGGATTTGCAGTTTTACTCGGTTTTCATCATTAGTCTCCTTTGATTTTAACTGGCTTGCATACTTACTTGAATTAATAGCAATTTTATATACTTACTATGATAAAGATAGTACGTACATTAAATTATTATAAAATACTTCTAGTATTTTCCCACTTGCCATAACATAAACCTGTTGTGAAACCAAAACTAATGTAGTTTAAAAACACTATATCGTTTTTGACGTACAAATGAAATTAAAAACATAACGGAAGGAGCACTTGCACTAGCTGAAAAATTGCTTTGAATGATAATATTTTTATCTTATCTCCTGCACGGAGACAGGTTCTAAGAATATTACGTTGAAAGTGTTCCCTAGCGAACAAGAGTAACTTTTTTATCTAAAAGATGCGTTCACCTTTCGATTTCCTTGGCCGTGTTTGCGCAGTTTTTTCCTATCACTTTCCGCTGAGGGAACCGCGCTGCATCAGCGTAAATTGTATTGGGCGGTGCATCGAAACAGCCGAAAAGAGTTTCAACTTGGAAACTTCTTTACTACTTACAGCTGGGACCACGCCGTCGCATCGAGACTTCTCATAACCATCGTCAACGTGAACTACTTCTGCCATTTTGATACACGGTCAGAAACAAAATAATCCGCCGATAATTAGTTCCACAGTTTTGACATCTTACAAATGTACGTAATTATTTTAATTAATTTCGTTCACTCACCAAGTTATGAATTTTTATTTTGGCTAATAGTGATTAACACTAAAATAAATTATTAATCCAAGTTTGTAATAATTTTAGTTACGTAATCGCTACAATCATATCATGTAAAAGTGCTCGTGTGTTTGTTAAAAAGCCTGCGTTTTCAACAGTCATTATGTAGAAATAATAGACAAAAAATTTGAAATTGATTTACATACTTTTTGAAATCATTTATTTTATGATGAAAGTATTAAACATCACATCACATCAATAAGATTAATAAAATAAAATCAATATTTTATCAAAGATAGAGAGGTCAATATTTTATCAAACGACAACTAAAAAGTATTAATCATCGAATGAAGAGAAATCCAATTCAATCCCTGTGACGATTCTTAGATCCGAGTATTTGTCCCAATGACACGTTTCCTCGATGCTGGCTGTACCATGGATTATAATGTGAGTTAGAAATAGCAAGGGGTGAAATCGAGCTACACCGTGGATTCGGATGGGTTTTTGTGTAAGCGGCACGCAATCCTCTCGTGGCAGAGGCACTTTCGTGAATCGAGTCCGCGGATTACCCCGATGGGAACACCACGGACGGGGATTAAAGTCACCGTCAGACCACTCGTCCCGTCGCTACGAAAATTAACGTACTTAATGATATCCGTCCACTTCTGGTTTGAGCTCCTCGACAAATTACCAGAAAATAAGGAATTAATAGTGATTGAATACATTAAGAGAAATAACTTATTTTTATGCTGTTGATCAAATGGTCTTCTAGTATTTATAATAACGTGTTAATATGGTGAATGAATATAATTTACGAATCAATGTATAAAATGAATCAATAAAAAATATTCTTTATCAATTTATTTTAAAAGTTACTTTCCAATCCGACTATTGACACAATATTTCTCTCTTCATTTTATTTGTCCTTGTTTTTGAATCTCAGTTGTCTCTCAAGCTTATAAATACAACAACAAAATATTGTTTAATATGTCACTGTCACAAGGAGGATATATAAAGTGAATTCACTATATAAATTTCAGTTAGCTGTAAAAAAAAATGAAGAACAATATGCGGACAGGAAGAGGAAAGTGCTTGGAACAAAACAATGGACGTTACGAGAATTACACTTTTATGTATGGAATTTTTGAAATACCACGTGTTTACAAAGTGGACTGTTTTTGTCACAGAGATGAAGATTAAAACGAAATTGGTGAAAGGTGAAAAATTCAAGGTTCGCCGCGAATTCCGAATCGAGGCAATCCCGTCCTGGATTTGTCGCTGTCTTTGTTCGGCTCTGTCCGCTTCCCATTTTTATCATGCTCTATGATGAGTCAGCTCGAGTATTTTTCTCCACTCAATTTCACCGGAGAATTCCACGACGATGGTAGTGGTGATGATGCATGCGACATTTGACGCGTCCGCAGGGAATGCGACACGAGAACGAAGCTTTTTTTCTATTAAAGTAATTCGAACGGAAATGGAAAGCGTGACGTTCTATTGAATAAAACGGCTTTCCGCTGAATTAAATATCGAATGCGAACTTGACCTAATTTATTTCCATCGAGGCTAACCAACGTGCATAAGAATCGGATATTAAGTATTAAATACAGAATTTTGTTGTTGTATCAATTTTGTACATTTAATCACAAGAACATTTGCGCAAAAATTTCTCTTTTACGTGGCTTTAAAATATATGCGAAGTATTCTCTACCAAGGAAGAATAACGACCCAAGAGAGAGAGTTCTACCTTACTTTATCTGAGACGCACTGACGCAACAGTATTTTGTATAAAAACGTATTTTCCCCTCGCTTTAATTTTCTCAACACTTTTTACTGAAGCCGAGAGGGAAGTCCATTTTCAGGTCGGATGGCATCGAATTAACGTCTGAAGACTTCGCGATGCTCTTTCGTCAACTTTATCTCGTCTCACGGATCCGTTTCCGAACGCTCGTATTTTTATTTTTCCCTCCACTACGCGCACAATCGGCCGCGCTACGAAGACCGAGTTTCCCTCCTCTCACTAAGGAAATGTGAACGGAAAAGTGGAGGAATCGATTTTACTCTTTTACGAGCCTCGGGTACGTCGTGAGCACGATTGAACAAGAGGCGAGGGCGTTCGATTACCTCAAAAGAACTATGGACAAGCGAAACCTCTGCTCTTGAAAAACGTTTCCCATTCGTTCGACTGTTTTCCTCCTGCTGCTCACCTCTCTGATGTATTCCATCTTCCATCTTTACATAGGTCAACGACCGGATTTATTCCAATGAGAAGTCGAAGTCGAAAGATAAAATCTCTGGTTTCAAAACCAGGGCTTTTATTTAAAAGTCTAAATATATCCATTTAGATTTATTTAGATTACACAGCTTCTAAATTGTTTTCAGAACGAGAGACTGAAATTCATACATCAGTTTTCAATATGGAAATGAAAAAAAATAATAAAAGAACGTAAGCAAATATTTGAATCAATTTGGAAATTGTAGTCGGTACCCAGTGTATTTGGCGTGTAGATATTTTTATTTGGGAACCATTTAATATCGCAAGTTTTTCAGTAACGCCCAATGCGCGCAGCTAGCTCTGAGCAAATACGCTCGTACAACCGATCATAACCGTAACTCGGACAATTTTAAAACCCTACCGTGCCCCGACCCTTTCAATTATAGCGATTCCATCGCTGGCCTCGAGCGTTCGTTCAACTGAGCATCTCGATCTTCTTTTTCTCTCAAAAGAACAGAATGCATTTTCTTTTCTGTGCTTACGCGGGACAAGCTTCTCTGCTAATCGGAATTTTTAATTATACCCCGACGGAGGAATAATCTGCGAGCTGCGATTTTCCTACTCCTCCCGTGTCTCGTTCACTAATTATCCGAGCTCCGCGCGAAATAACGCAATTCACCCCAAGCCCTGTTGCCGGTCGATGATAAGGATTAATTTTTCGAAAGAGAACGGAACTCCGTAAATTGTTTCTGTTTCCCAATTAAGTTTGGTTCACGGTAGATTGTTCCACGGAATGGTTTTCTTAATGAAGAACAACACAAATTGAGAATTATTGAAACGAAGCAATTATTTTTAAATTGTTCCAGTGAAAACAAGAAGTGTGAGATGCACCTTGGAAAAGTGAATTAAACTCTTTTACATTAAACAGTGTAATGTATTAATATGAAAGAAAAGGGACTCGTATTTGAAATGTTGCAGAATTCTTAATTCCGTACAAATCAATTGTACAGTCTAACGTGATTTATTTTCATATCTAATACGTATTAATTGTTTGGACCAAAATCAATCATAATACTTGTATTATAATAATGATTCAATGGATCAACACATTTTATTTCACGTCTACAAAATCTCCTGTCTATCAATGTGTCGTACGACGTCGACGCCGAGACTTTCTTACATACTTCACATGCTTAAAACACGCCGCGGCAAGCGGTGGCACGCGCATTCGCGAGAGGAACTCGCGTGGAAAATTGATTCGCGCTTAATCCGCGTCCTGAATTTCGACCTGGTTTCACGCACGATGCTCGCCGTCTCGCATACTTCCCCGAGAGGAATTTCAATTTCTGAAAACGTTCCGCTGTCGACTGGTTACCCTCGAATTACTACATGGTTCGATTCTCAAGTCGATCACGTGCGCGGTATTTTATATTTCTAAATTCTTAGGAAGTAGCCATTGGAGATGGATCCATTATCCGTTCCAATAACGTCGAAAATTGTGAGATACTTTTTGATAACATTTTAACTTTACAAGGCATGTTACTCGATGTCTACAATACATCGCAAAAATATAATGTATGAAATCTTAAAAAAAATTGATCTAATTGATAAATTCATAGGAGGAATTAATTATTTAATCAATCTTATTATCAGTGGCAATAATGCTTGAAAAAAACTGAGCAAATATTGAGAATTTCTTTATATTTATTTTTATAACGATGTAATTTTTATATTCTATATAATCCATTGTCAGGACTTGAAGTTTTTAAACAAACGTTTTAGTAATATGCTATGAAATGAATTTATACAGCATTGTTCGTGAGGAACGAAACATAGAGTCGATGAAAAGTGGTGAGCAATCCTCATCGCGACAATGAGGCAAAAGGACAGAGGATAATTCCTGGGAGTCGTACAGTCGCTACCCAAAATTGAATTCTCCTTGCAGAATTTCGAGGCGCGAACCGTGAAGCTACGACCTGCAAATTATATTCTCGCGTCTATTGTTTCGCGTTTCTATGTAGCGCGCGTGTCTCAGTTTTACGGTCGCAAGCCCGGAAAACTGTGATTAGTGGAAACAGGGGATGAGTGGTATGAATATACTGAAATTAATGGAACAGTTGCTTTGTTCTACACAGGTTTCAACAGAGTGTCTCTTGCTAATTAACGCGTGAGAACCTAAGCAGTAAAGTAACGCAGTTTTCACAGCCGGAATTTCCATTTAGAAATCTGTGTCAAATTATTGCAAGGTTGAGAAATTAAAACCTTGGGGAGTTTTAAATTAAAAATAATGAAGCTGATATCGCATGTTTAAAAATAAACGTTCTCTCACTCAAATGATGTATGTACTTAGTGGTTCAGTACGTCAAATCATTAACATTCACAGAAATAAATGGAATCCGGCGGATTGACTCGAATCCGGCAGATTGAGGCAACTTCGTTGAAAGCACTAACTTCGCTCAAGTGCTGCACGTAAGGGCAAGCGAAAAAGCGTCGTGTTTCTCTGTAACGACTAACGACGTTATACATGTTGCGAACCAGTCTATCGGGAGGTATATTCCAAACTGAGGGGTAGTAAATAAATCGCTTGAGCTGGCCCTTCTGGGAAGCCAAATAAATTACTGTTTATTCCCACGAAAAAGATCTTTATGAATTACAGTTCCATTACTTCCTGTATTCCCGAACTTCTAGCCAGAGAAAATAAACTGAAAACAAACGTTTTATAAATTATAATAAGAACATAAAAAGTGATTATTGGATCTAAATCATAAAAAATCATAAAATAATGCCTCGTTCAACGTAGATTAGCTTCTATATTAAAATATTTTATCACTTCATTTGTATGATTAAACAAGAGTAATTTTTTATCAATCTTTTTTTCGTATAGTTTAAGAATTCTATCCTTTGAGGGAATGTTAATCTTTGATATAGCCATGGAAACGATTTTCCAAATGCACGCGAACTTTTCGTACAACTCGATGGGAATTTGTTAGACTTACTCGACCATGTCGGAATCCTTGGCCACTCGACAGTGAACGCCACGATCCACCAGACATTTCCCGCTGACGGGATCTGGCGGTGCGAGGTTGATGTAGGGCGGTTCCTCCAGGAAAGTTATTTTCAAATAAAACTTCTCAGGCACTCCTTGAGGTGGCGTGTGGGTGTTCCCTGGCCAGACGATGTCCTTGATGTCCAACCCCTCCTTCTCCCAAGACTTCCAGACACCGATCTGTTGGCACAAATGAGGCGAAGGGTTGACAAATTGCTCGCGCATTTGTTTCTTTGCATGGTCACATTTATTTCTTTGCGTCAGCCATTTCAGTGTTAACAAACACGATCAATTACACAGTTTTCTATTCTTGGACTTACGTTTTATTTATTCTCCACGTATTATCATAGTTAATTAACTAGAATTTGAACAAACATGAAAATGAATAATCATTTCGCTTTAAGAAGATTTTCAACGTAGTTTAAACAATATCTCGTACTTATTCGAACTCATGTAGTCAAGTATTCATAACAAATTGATCACCCGTACACTGTGATTTATATTTCCACTATAAAATGATTTACGACTTCCATCATATGACTAAGAGTGCAGGAATAAAGTAATAATACGTCCATCAAACACAAGGACACACCAATGAATAAATAAATTATAATTTAACAATGCATATAATAGCCGTTACTGAAAGTAATAGATGCTTAAGGACAGCTGTTTCAAAGTGCCGAAGGTACGAAGCTGTAATATATCCTGAGCAGGCAACTAAAGAGCAGGGCTGTTGAATTTTTCGTACGGAGCGTCGATGGACTGAAGACAAAGTGGTGGTAAAATTGCGAGCGGAGCGTAAAAGCGTCGCACGCGACTTCATCCGCCGTCCCGTTTTACGAATATGTAATAGGGTGAGGAAGAGGACGTCTCCTGTATACCAACGGCCGACATTCGAATATTGGAATTCGATACAGATACAGGTCGAGCGTGTCCCGATGAAAATTCATTGCCGCCCTCGTCCCCCGCACTCCGCCGTGTCGTCGTCGTCTGAAGATGAGTCGCAATTTTTCATCCCCGATCGCACGGCTGGCGTGGAACGGCCGCCAGTCTCTCCCGTCACATTTTCATTAAATTCGATGTCGGTACTTTCTCCCGCAAAACGCCCGGCCCGATGTTATTAAAAACTTTGTTTCGATGTAACGAATTCGATATGAATGTACATTTCCTTGTCTTTATCTTTTTTCGTCAAAGTAGAGGCAGTGCAATTTCGTAATTCTGCGTACTGATTTAAATATTTTCATGATTTGTTTTTTAAATAAGACTGAATGACGAATTTATGAATAAAAACATGTAAAAATGGAATATAGAAATATTTGAATCTTATATATGTAACATATTTTTAATCCTGTATAACTGAAGAATTTACGATAGATTGAATAATCGTTTTTAATTGTTGAAGCTTGTTTGGTAATTAAAACTCAGCTGTGGCAAGCTGAAGTAAGAATAACTTTCACAATATGGTGCTTGAAGATAAGTACTCTTCTACAGTGGAGCAGTTGAATTGGTTCATTAGCAACAATCCCTAGCTTTCATGGAACACCTAATCCTCAATATTAGGGGGACTAAAGTTACTTTATTTTGCAGAGTAAAATAATTTGATCTCATTTCTAAATACACTACCAAACATTAGAACTTTTATTATTGAGAATGAAGTATAAAAATATGTAAATAAAAAACAGAAGGAAAAGGAGAGAAAGAAAAGTGTTTAGTTACATTTTATAAATGAATTACGATTCTTTATTTATACAGGATTTAAAATGACACTCATTATTTCTGAATATCAACAGTAATCATCGTAAATCATAGCTTATTAAAATTGACGCGTTTATAAACACCTGTTCCGAGCGCAGATGTCTGAAACGGTTAAATATCGCCGCTCGAAGATCTCCGGATAAAATTGAGATCGCAAGGCTCGAGGTACGGGGCGACCAACTTGGCTGCCGTTTCAGATTTACGAAATAACGTGCTCGCTGGCAGCCGCCAACGAGATTAATGGAAATAATGTTACGCGAGAAGATGTCTACGAGGGAAATACGTACATATTCGCAATATGTACCAGAAAGTAATGTCCTCTGTCAGCCGGCTTACTAAGTCGGCGAGGAAATAGCGAGGCACGACTGCGTGCAAACATGCATACCCACCGTTTCCCGATTTGATTAATACCCTTCGCGAGTGTATCATTTCAACTCCTATTCGAAGCTGAAGCAAATTACGTTCATTTCTTGCCGTGTCACCATTAGAATTGACGGCAGTTTCATTAGTAAAACTTTCAATTTTCCTAGAATTTTATACCCCGTTTTATGCATGCGATTAAAAATATTTAAAAAAACGACAAGCAATTGTGAACACAATTTAGTAAGTCGAGAGCTTATTATAATTTTAATAACCATTACCGGAAAAAAAGAGGGAAGTATAAGCTTGTCCAGAAGATTTTTCACTGAGAACATCGATTACCCCGGTTGGCCCGGCTTGCGAGTTCCGCTTACGTAACAAGCTCTAATGAAAGAAGAATTAATGATCCGCCCCTTAATCACGATCTTCATTATCGCGGAAACGCCGTTAACGAATCGTGTTGCATGTAAATACGAGCCGCTCCGTTCGGATTATCAGAAGTTGGCACGCCGGATCCTCGTAAGATCCACGGGTGTGAGTAATGAACCCGATCAATTATCGGGGTCCATTAAAGCCTGGTATCATGGCGAGCGATCGCCTAACAAACTGGATGTCTTTTAGGTGAGGTCTCTCGGATAAAGTTTAGATCAACAGGAAAAAGAACTCGAGAACTTTATTTAACTCTTCGCAGGAGAAATGCTTCCTATTGCTGCTTTTACTGAATAAAAAACGTTTCACATTTCAGCAACGCCCAACCGCTTCATAAATACAGAAACCTCTCTGAACGCTCTGAACTACCTTTAACATTTCCTATTTTTCAGGAAAAGTAGCTGTTTCTTTAGTTTCTAAAGCATACACGACCCATCAAAGTTGTTTAAAATATTAAAAAGATTTTAATCAAAAATAAATGAACAGTTCATAATTAAGAAATTTTATATCTAAGAAGAACAGTATAAAATTAATATGACACGACGTTATCTCAAGGAACACCTTCACAGGTTCCCAAGAAAATTACTTGCAGTTTTGCTAGCGAAATCGTCTCGCAGGGGCTTAGGGCTTCCACTAAAAGGCTCAACGTACCATCAACAGTGTCAATGGAACTTGCACGGAAGTTGTAGCGTACCGCACGATCTCGTTAGAAAGCCACTGTTAATCGCATTCCATTAACAGCTATATATTAGAGGCCGGAGTTACGGCTTGGTATTTAGCTTGTTTATTACCTCATCACACATCATGACATCCGATGTACGCCAAGAAACTTCTTCCCTTTAACCCCCTCGCGTGTTCGAGGTATTTGGAAGTTCAATTATCTGCGATGCGTTGCGTTGAATGCGACCGATAACGAAGCAACGTCCAGTTAGTGGACTATAAGCCAACCTGGTCAGACTGCTTTTACATCAAGATTATCCAGGAATACAGCGGATTAAGGCTGGACGATGGTTGTAATAGTATAATTTAACTAGATTTAGATCATTAAGACAAAATCTTATAATAGGATTTGGAGATAAATTAATATTTCTTAATAGTACAATTTATGAGCCTTATTATACAAAGATTTATGTAATGGAACAGAAGTAGGTGACTATGGTAAGAGCTATCGCGTGGAAAGATTTATCACTTTAGTAACTACTGAACTATTTCTAAGGCTTTTAGTCGAAGAAAGTTGGTCAGCTTTTAGATTTCAGAGCAGCCACGAGCTAATTTACAACCTTCTTGCGTTTCGCCACATCAAGGCTCGACATTTTTAATCAATTTTACACTGTATCATATTTCCTTTATGAAGTAATAAGTCCTAGCGAAATGAACTGTTATTTTATAAGGATAAAAAGTACTTAAATGTTTTTAGAGCTTTAAAGCCGTACCTCAATGCGCCATTGCATTTCCGATACATTGCACGAACGTAAAACGATTTCTTCGCTTAATCTGCTCTCTGCACATTCCTATACCTATTCTTTTATCTCCACTCGTAAATTATTGTCCTTCTCCCCCGAAACAGCCATGGATTAAAAGTTTATTGTTGTACGATTTTTATTGCAAGATTTTGTTATTTAATATGAGATGAATATCGAAGATGAAATATCGTAAGAGAATTGTTTATCAATCGATGAAGTTGTAGAACGTCAGGTGGATGGCAATTCATAGATGATTGCGACTGGGGATTGGAGGATCTCTGCCGGAAGTTTTCCAGATTAGAGGCAATGCTCTTCGGCGAGCATTTCTGTAACGATTATGAGAGGCGTTGTCGTGATTGGAACATCGCCAAACACACGGCAACCTCCATCAAGGACTGCCGGAAGTGCATTACTAAATACCTGACGATGCGAATGCCGCGGCGGCGTAATTACTAGTCCCCGACTTCGGGTGGGTACATTCGTACGAGCAAGCAACGTGATTATGTCGTTATGGCGGATGTGATTACAATTATCGCGAATACGGGACGTTCTATGTTTCCGGTCTGATCTTTGCGTTCATCTAAATTGCTTGAACATTTTGATCCGAGATGAGATCGCTACGTTTTAACAAGTGAAAATGATTCCACACTCGATTTCATGTATTAAAAGACGAGCAACAAGTACCTGCCTCCTTTCTATAT